TTGGGGAGCTCACCTCCTGTATCACTTAAGACAACCATCGTTTGGTCGAAAAAGGAAACAAAGGAATCTTAAAATTTAAGGGAGTTGTTGGCAGTTCTCTATGCTCTTCAGCAGTTCAAGATTTAATTATAGGAAAATCTGTAAAGATCCAGTGGGACAATCAGACTACAGTCTCCTACCTAAACAAACAAGGCGGTACAAGAGTAAAAAAATTGTATTTCCTTTGCTCACGGATTATGTCCTGGGCTCAAAGTCATCTAGACGATATTTCTGCCATTCACATTCGAGGAGTAGACAACGTGGTAGCGGACGATTTAAGCAGATCAAAATGGTCTCAGAACAAGTGGTCTCTCAATACAGAAATTTTCGCTCATCTTGTGAAGAGATTCGGTCTGCCTGTCACAGACCTTATGGCAAGAAGATCAAATGCAAAAGTTAGATCATTTGCCTCCCTCTTCAAGGTAGACAAGCCGCTGGTAATGGATGGTCTTTTGATCCGGTGGGAGTTTCCCCTTGCTTACATTTTTCCCCCAGTGAGCCTTGTCCCAAAGATTCTGCAAAAGGTAACATCAGATCAAGCTCGTATTCTGGCCATAATACCGTACTGGCCAAACCGCAGCTGGTTCTCGGTTTTAAAGATGGCTTTAAAGTACTGGATTCTCCCGGTAACACCGGATCCTCTGGAAAACAAGTGAATTCCAGTAGAAGTATTGAACATGTTCAGGTTGACGGCTTGGCTGCTGCACGGCTAATTCTGCATAATAGGGGCATTAAAGAAGAGAGGTTTCAGTTACTGTTAAATTCTACCAAAAGCTCTACTTCTTCTATCTACTTAAACATTTGGACGAGATTTCTTCACTGGTGCATATCTCATCGTTGCATAGGATCCTCTCCTTCTACTGATACTATCCTTAATTTTTTGCAAGATGGTCTTGCTCAAGGTTTTAGTCTGTCTACCCTCAAAGTCCAAGTTTCCGCTCTCAATCATTTTTTGGTAAAAAACTGGGCTTCTGATCCTCTCATTAGGAGATTTTTTAAATCTGTTGACTCGTAAAGCCTCCTAAGATAATCTGTTTTCCCTCTTGGGATTTGTCTTTAGTTTTGAAATCTCTGTGTACTGAGCCTTCCGAAGAAGCTTTATTGAAGAATCTGTCCCTGAAAACCGTGTTTTTGGTGGCCATTACTTTTGGCTAAGAGGATAGGGGAACTCCAGGCCCTTTCTTCCTCTCCTGCCTTTACAAAACTTCTTCCGGATAAAGTGGTTATGTACCCTAAGCCTTCCTTTCTTCCGAAAGTCATCTCCTTTTTAAACCAACCTATTTTTCTTCCTTTCTTTAATGGTCCATCTATAGAGATGTCGCGAACCGTCCGCGAAATTCTCCCGAACAGTTCGCCGCGGTTCGCCACGAGCTGTTCGCGGCGAACTCCGGACAGCTGACACATCCCGGCCAATCTCCAGCAGACCCTCCCTCCCAACATGGATACTGTCCAGGAAGTAGGAGGGTCTGGGAGGGAGGGTCTGCTGGAGATTGGCCGGGATGTGTCAGCTGACCGGAGTTCGCCACGAACAGCTCGTGGCGAACCGTTCGCGAGAAGTTCGCGGACGGTTCGCGACATCTCTATCCATCTATGCCAGATTGGAAATTTGATTAGAGCCAACTAGATGTGGGTAGGTCTCTGAAAATCTACTTGGACCGCTCCTCAACGTATAGGATGACTGATCATCTATTCGTGAATTTCTTTGGAAAATTTAAAGGCCTCTTGGAATTTAAATTCCAAGGCCTCTTTAGCTAGATGGCTGGTGGATACTATTAAATTGGCTTATTCTTTCTCGAATCTACCTCTGCCTGCCTCTTGAAAGCACATTTTACTAGAGCCATGGCTGCCTCTTGGGCCGAAAAAGCGTGTGCCTCACCGGAAGATATTTGCACCTTAGGCTACCTGGTCTTCTTTCAACACTTGTGTCAAGCATTACAGGCTAGACGTATTCTCTGCCTCTGATGCTGATTTTGGGCACAAGGTGTTACAAGCTGTTATTGCCTAACTTCCTGCCCTTAGTATGGGATCTCAATATATCCCTATTGTACTACCACCATATGTCAGGAAAAAATTAAATTTTACTCATCGTAAATTCCTTTTTCCTTAATATGGTGGCAGTACATCACTCCCTCCCTTTATGTATATATTATATTTGGGTGTTCTATGGATTCACTGAGGTCCCTGGGCTGGTTGGGTCTCTTATACCTGGTAAGAGGAGGTACTTTTTATGTTAATTATTTATTTCAGATGCTTGTCCCGAGGGAAGAGTACATCCCTATTCTACTGCCACCATATTAAGGAAAAAGGACTTTACGGTGAGTGCAGTTTTTTACCTGCACTAGAGTATTAATTTTGGTTTCTCTGAATGAAAATAGAAATAATATAAAGAAACTGTACATTTATAATGTCACAAACGCCAAAACTGAAATAGTAGAGGACAAAGTGGGACTGGGGCAGGAAATTGCACTGTGAATGCATTAGGAGACTGATTGTGGGATTGTGTGTGTGTTAAGGGGGCTGTTTGTGGTGTAGTGTGTGTGTGTAAACAGATCTGTTTGTTTTGTGTTTCCGGTGTTCTTTATGTGTCTAGGGCTGTAGTGATAGAGAGTGCTTTGCTGATGATGCAGTGTGTATAAAGAATGTATTGTGTAATGCAATCTGCCCTCTTTCATCCTTCCCTCCAATACATAGATGTTTATTCATCCACTCTTAACTCCTCTTCACTGTCTCACAGCAAGAGGTCTCAAAACTTCTCCTATCCTCTTGCCTCACCATATATCCTCTTGATGCCATCTCTTCTGACATTGTCCAATCATAAAAAAGCCCTCTCTTGACCCTACTTCCCTTTCTAACTATTGTCCCTTACCGCTACTCCAATTCACTTTTAAGCTTCTTGAGAGGCCTGTGTTTGCTTTCTAAATACTAACTCTCTCCTTAACCCTCTTCAATCTGTCTAGAACTTCTCTGCTGCCTTTGATACTGTTGACTACTTTTTCAAGCCGTCCACAACCTTGGAATCCATGATAGTGTATGTTCCTGGATTTCATCCTATCTTTCTGAACACTCATTTAGTGTGTACTTCTTTGGTGCCATCTCCTCCTAACTGGCCATCTCAGTTGATGTTACCTAAGACTCTGTTCTTGGTCCTCTTTTATTATCTATTTACAATGCCTTTCTTAGTAACCTTATTAACTGTTTTGGATTTTCAAAACTGTCTATATGCTGCCTTTTTATTAGATCTACCTTACGTCTCCTGACCTATCCCCTGCCCTTTCAGTACATGCCCCAAACTGCCTCTTTTCTATCACACAAATGGAATGTCTTCCCGTTTTCTTTCTAAAACTTCTCATATGCAGTCTGTCTCAAAATCCAGTAACTGCCACCTTCCATAAAATATTGCCTGCGGGCCTAGGCATACAGCCTCCGACGGACCTTCCCAGTGTGGAGAGGCATCCAGCAGAATTACCACAGATACCAGTTGAATGGCAGGAGGTGGGAGCGAGAGGCAAATGGTATCGTATAACGCGGAGGGCACAGAGGGACTACCCAAGGGTGAGGGCCTACAGTTCCAGTTGTGGGTGGGGGACGTGGATCTTTTTCTGCCAGGGCAAGGGTGATTACCTTTGGACAGGGAGCGGTACCAGAGGGGTAGCCCATTGGAGGTCCTGCGGGAGGGAAGCCGAGCAACCCAGGGCTCTGGGGCGAGGTATTGACTAGGTTTGGGAGAGGGATGGGGGACACGGGATAGCCTGGACAGGGTTAATGTGCGGTAGCTGGAAAGTTCCCATTATCTCACCCCTGACAGTGCTCAACTGCCTGCACCAAGCGGAGGAAAGACTTGGGCGTCAAAGCACAGGGGGCGGCAGGAACAATTAGGGCTTAATGGTGGGTCCCCGCATATGGGTACACCGAGCAGGGGACTTCAGCTCAGAGGGGGTGACGGGCTGTGACACACAGGGCATAAAACTGCGATTTCCCCCCGGATCCCATATAACACCAAGGGACATCAGGCTATGGACACCCCTATGCGGGGCATACTGTCACATCATGCCTTGTTCTGCGGATCAGTCGGGTGATGGCTTCTGGTATCCAGTACTCTTTTTACATTTCTTGTTTAGTTTTTCTTGGTTTTTCTGGTTTTCTATTCTATGTCTGGTTTTCTTTATGCTGGGTTTTTCTGGGTTCATTCCTGTAATCCGTCCCTGGAATTCCCAGTGTCCAGGTTTCCTTTAAATGTTTGTTTTATGTAGCCACACCCATTTGTTTTCCATCATTCCCTTTGTTTCAGAGTTCCTGCAGGCAGCTGCTCTTTGGTTGTTTTAGCGAACATTAGGCAGTGGAGGACCTGCCGAATATGGGGTACATTGGTGTTGTGGCAGGCTTTTGCAATATATGATCATATAATGTAACTAAATCCCCATACTTTTCATATATAGTGCTTAGTTATGTCTCCTCTTGTTTTGCCTATTATATCTCGTATTGTTTTAGTTTGTATTCCCAGTCCATGTACAGTCCTGTCCTGCCCCTGTTTAGTTAATGTTCCCTTATGTATTGTGTACA